GATGCCCTACGGTAAGAAAACCAAGCAACCGGTATTGGCACTGCCATTGACAGCTCTAGCTGAGCTCCCAGTGAATGGCCAGCATCAGTTGCCAACCATATGCCAACCATATCTGGGGCTCTGAGTGAGCCCCAGATGTCTCACCAAAACTGCCAGAGAAAAACAACCAAGAATCACTCAGCTGAGCTCAGTCAACGTACAGAAACATGAAAGCTAATAATAAATTGTAGTTTTAAGTCTTGGGGTGGTTTGTTACACAGCCATAGGTGACTATAATAGTAGCCCAAACCAAATCCTTTATTTCCCCTCACAAAACCCGCTCCTCCTTTGTGTGTCCCATCTCAGGAAAAAACTTCCACTTGATTAGGTCAAAATCTTGGAGTCATCCTTGATCCTCTCTTCTGTTCAAATGCCATATCCAGTCCATTGGCAAATCCTGTTGGCTCAATCTCTAAATCCTATCTCAAATGTTTTCATTTATCAGTTCTTCTGCCCCTCCCGTCCTTATCCAAGCTACAGTTCCCTCTCACCAGAGCTTCTGCAGTAACTGCTTAACTGGTCTTCCTGCTTCTACCCCTGCCTCCAGTGTTTCTTCTCCACAGAGCAGCTACTTGATTTATCATCCTTTAAAAATGGAAATCAAGTCTCCACTCAAAATCCTCTTGTCACACTTAGAAGAAACACAAAGTCCTAGCCTTGGCCTAAAATGTACTCCAGGATCTGGCTCCTGCTTCCTTGAGGCTTCATTTCCTACTGCTCTCTCCTTTGCACACTTGTCAGCCAGACATGCCCTCTTGCTGTTTCTTGAATGTGCCAATCACACCCCTCCTCAGGTTCTTTACATTCACTCCTCCCTCAGCCTAGAATACTCTTCCTTGAGATATTATCGTGATCCCTTTATTCGTGTCTCTGTGTACATTTCTTCCCCTCCAGGAAGCCCTTCCCTGAACACCCTTGCTAAAATAGCACCCTTGCCTTTCTCCATCCCCTGACATTGCTTTAGTTTTCTTCATCATATTTACATCACCCACCTTTGCTGTTGGTCTCTTTGTTTACTGTCTATTTTGTCCCACTTGAATGGAGGCTCCATAAAGACGAGGATTTTGTCTGCTTTGTTCACTGATATATCACTGGTGCCTAGAATAATGTCTGGCACATAGTAGGCCCTCAATAAATATTTATTGAATGAATAAATGATCCCTGGACCTGTTCCCCAAAGTGTCAAGAAGTACTGACATACATCTGCCTTCCTGACACCTGAGCTAACATTTTCCATACTTGCTTCAGCTTAGAACATTAAGACACATGACTTTTCCAGGTTGAAATGGGGTGAAAAGGAGGACTTGTCAGCCCCATGTATTCCACTCCACTTCTACTTGGCCTCAATACCACTTGAGTACTAGGTTTTTTCAGCGTGTGATCCTAAATCCTTCTTCCAATTCTAACTTCTTGGAGCTCAAGTTCAGACTAGACTTTGTGTAGGAGCCCATGCAAGTCCAGATGGCCAACCCTGGTCATTCATCTATTTAATAAATGTTGGTAGATTCCCTACTGTGTCCCAGGACTATACAAATGACTGGTGATATGTTAGTGAATAAGACAGACTGGGCTCCATCTACTCAAAGCGGGCATTTTAAGGGATGACTGAAAGATAAGGTAGCTGAGAGTGCCAAGGTGCCAAGGAGGTTGCCTAGAAGAACAGCCTCTGGGTGTGAAATGGAGCTCACAGCTCTCCCAGTTAAGTCCAGACTAGACTCTGTGGTGTGCCTCAGAGCGCCCCTGTATCCTCAAAGGTCCTTCAGCCTTCCATCAGCCAGAGACTAGACCACATTTCCTGCCATAATCACCTTTTGTAGATAATAAAACCTCACATTTGTATGGTACTCTGAGGAAAGATAATAGCCAGCATCTATTGGTGTCAACCAGGTACCGTGAAGGGCACCCAACAGCATCTCATTCTTACTCATCCTCCCAATTAACTTGGAAGGTGGGGAGCTATTGTCCCTATTTTACAGTTAAAAACCAGAAGCTCACAGAGGTTCTATGATTTGGCACACAGTTAACATAGGGTAGACAGAACTCATATCTGCTTGACTCCAAAACTTATGCATTTTCCTTAAGGCTGCATTGCTACCTATTAAAAATTACAATAAAATGAAATGCCCTGGGGTCAACACTTTTAAAAGTCCATGTCTATTATCTGGTTTTGTCATTATATTTCCTTTTGAGTCAGCAAAGTCAAGTCTTGTTATCCCCATTTTACAGAAGAGAAAATTCAATCTAATTAGACGAGTATAATGGAAGTCATTTAAGACTGCCATGCAGGACTAACTATGTATTCAAAAGTATTTCCCACATTGGCTGCCATTGTACCCAATGTTCTACCATAAGATTTATTTTTTTGGCTAATGATCTGTTTAAGTCTCTCATTGCTTCTTAATGTGGGTACTCTTAAAAGAGTTTTACCCCAAGCAAACTGTTAGGTACCATCTTGTCAGGGACTGTCTGAGAATTGGCAGAGAGGGTTACTGCTTTCAAAGTAAGGCATCCACGGGGAGCATTCTAGGCAGAAACTCTGTCTTCAGGAAATCACCTCGATTGGATCCTAACTGGAGCTGCTGCATGACTGGCAGTGGTCACACAACTATGTTAGCAAGTGAGCCAAGCACACCCAGAACCCCTGGCTTCCTGACTCCAGAGCTTCTGTCTCTATATGACTTGGCCACTGCCCTGAGCTCACTCTAGTCTGAACCCATCATCTTGGCACTCTTGGGGGACCCTTACAGTGCCTGAGAATGTACAGCAAACCAGGACAGACCCAGAGAAATAGCTAGACAGCTCTCAGATTCCATCTGGTACAAGGATTTGTGTTCTTTTGAAGTTTGTTCCCTTACTCTGTAAATACTTGGACTTTAATGTGTGTTACTGGGATGGAATCATTTGCAGTAAATAGGAGAACCACCAACAGAAGCTACTTAAGTCTCTCTGCTAGAAGTCAGAAGCACCAACCAAGAATGTGTTCCAAATCCCTGGGACAGACACATGTGCGGCTTGGGGGGTCCTTTCTTGGTAGTGATACCTAGATGACACTGGATGCAGCCAGCACACTTGCTGAGTGCCACATAACCTAGACTGCTTTGCCCACACACCACGAAGGCCCTGGGAAACCCTGTGTCAGAGCCAAACAGCTGTAACTCTTCAGGCCTTTCAAAGCATTTCTAAAGCCCCAAAGGGCAGTGTATTATCTGTATTTACCCAGCACAACGAAGGCAAAAACCACACTCATGAATATTTTCAGCAGTTGGGACTGTCAGAAGAGCAAGACACACGACTAAATATATCCAGGCGGCTTCCCTGCACTACTAGGCAGGACTTGTTTTTGCTTCATTTTGTTTCTGTTTTTAAACCCTATTACCTTCAAACAGCAGTCATATTGAAGGAAATAAGCACTATGATGATAAACAACCCTTCTACGCCATGAATTATTATAGAAATTTTATATTTATTTTCTCTAGGATTCCTAAATTCCCCTGGAACACACTTCTAATACCATTTTCAGTTGGTGGGATCTTTTATGAAGATTCAGGGCTGTGGGTCACCAGCTCACATAAGAAAGTAGATGCAATTTCCCACAACCATTAAAGTCCTCTTTATACTTCTTACATGTATTAGGTCCTCTAGCTAAACTCATCCATCATCTTCTTTTTCAAAAAGAATAAGGATCATTTAACAACATCTGACATGTATTAAATCCTCAGTGCGTTAAGTCTTTACATGTATTATCTCATTGAATTCTCACAACAACCTTGTCAGGTAAACATCATCATCTCCGTTTTACAGATGAGGACACAAAGTACACAGCATGTTTTAGTAACTAGCCCAAGGTCCACAGCAGGTAACTAACTGTAGAATTGGGAATCAAATCAGAATCCATCTGACTGCAGAGGCAGCAAGCATAACCACTGCACTCTTTAAATTTGCTTCAGAGGTTGACATCACAATAGGCACAGTATCTGACAGCAAATAGGGGCAGTTCCCAACTTTTGGTTCTCCAACTTACTAATAACACGTATATGGACACTCAACTGCAGAACCTCCCTCCACCCTTATTTCCCCTACCCTTGACGCTTCTGCAAAGGGAGCCCCCATTCCTCCTACCAGAGGATGGCCCCTCTCCTCTGATTCCCCTCCCTCCACCATGCCCCTCTCTCTAACCGCATCCCCGGGGTTGCCCTCTAGCGGCTGGTGAGGGAACTGCTAAAGTGGCGGTCAACTCCTGGATCTGCCCTAGCAGAGAACTGCAATGTTTATTACCAGCGCTGCAGTTTACTGACATTAAGGGTCCCATTGTCCATCCTGAAATCTTCTCTCCAACAGTATGATTTTCCATAGAAAAAAAAGTGTTAGTTGCAAACAATCGACCTACAACTGAGCCCTACCCATTCGAACTGTCTGTTTAAGATTGTTTTGCAGCGAAAATTCCTATCTAACCACATCTCTCCAACCCTAATAGTGAAAACTGTGCTTTGAGGTATGTAAGAATGAAGTCAAAATTTCCTGTTTCACTTTTTACTGTACTTATGTAAATCGACCATTAGTGCACTGTTTCCTAATGCCAGATACTATTAGTCATTTCAGTGTTTAATGGCACATTTTGTGAAATCCTCTCCAGTGCAAAACCACACAGCATCTGGGTTATCTGTTCTGTAGTTCCTTCCAAACTTCACTATTTTGAAATGATCTGGTGCTTGTTTTCCACTTCTGTTCTTTATTGGCAGCATTTCCATTCATCCTTTTGTGTTTTTTTTAAAGATTGGCACCTGAGCTAACAACTGTTGCCAATCTTTTCTTTTCATTCTTCTCCCTAAAGCCCCCAAGTACATAGTTGTGTATTCTAGTTGTGAGTGCTTCTGGTTGTGCTATGTGGGACTCCGCCTCAGCGTGGCCTGATGAGCGGTGCCATGTCCATGACCAGGATCCAAACTGGTGAAAGCCTGGGCTGCCGAAGCAGAGGGCATGAACTTAACCACTAGGCCATGGGGCTGGCCCCCAGCATTTTCATTCCTCACCCTTTTCTTGTCCTTATATTCTTTTAGGCTAATCTTTGAAATGTCAGTCTTGGTCCACAGAAACAAAAATTTGAAAAAAGGAAAAAAGGGAATGCTATAATTTCTTTCAAGTTGTAAAAGTAATACACACATAAAAATTACTAACTTTTTTACCAATAAAAAATCATCTTTTGGCCTTCAATCTAACAAACTAATCAGAAAAGAAAATTGCATCAGTCATTCTGAAAATGCCTTTTTTGCATAAAATGTTACCCTCTTAGAATAATAATGCAGCAGTTCTCAAACTTGAGCACATTTCAGAATTACCTGGAAGGCTTGTAGAAGCACAAATTACTGGACCTCACCTCTGGAGTTTTTGATTTAATAGGTCTGGGGTGGGGCCCAAGAACTGGCATTTCTGACAAGTCCCCAAGTTGAAGTTGATGCTGCTAGTCAGTGGACCAAATTTGAGAACTGTTGGTGAAATATTAGAGCTCAAAAAAGACTTAAGGATCATTTCTGCCTTATTTAAAGCTCTATTGGTTGCAACTGACAAACTCCCACCTGAGAATAGACTTTATTGGAAGCAGCTGGGGTATCTGCCAGACTCCAAGATAAAGTTGGACAGTCAGGCCAGCCAACAAGCAGATTGAGGAGTGCAGCAACAACAGGGAGGGAGCCTCCTCTGTGTCTCTCCCTGTCTCTCTTTCTCTCCACTCCTCCTCTGTGTCTCTCCCTGTCTCTCTTTCTCTCCACTCCCAAATCGAAGCTTGGGGTTGCTTTGTTCAGATAATCAAGGAAGAGATCTGATTGGCAACTGGCCAGCTAATGAATGGACTCTTCCCATGGGGTCGAAGTTCTCCCCTGCTCAGGCCACAGGTGCAGAGTCTCTTAACCCAAATATGGTACCAGGAGGGAGAAGGGAGCAGTTCTCAGAGAAGAGTGGTGTAGACTTGGCAAAGACTTTAATCAGTGTCTACTGTATCATATGAACAATTTTTCAAAAGAGAGAACTGTGGTTTGGGGAAAGTAAAACACCTGCCAAGGAGCATGTGTCAAAGAAGTGGCAAAGCTGAAGCCCATCTTTTTGTTGGAGGGGTGGGCATGTGGACCCAAAGCTGGCCCCGAAGTGGCAAGTAGAGATTTGTTTCTCAGTCAGTAGTAGGCTGGAGCTGCTGGTACCAGCTCCAGAGAGCTGAATGTTAAATATTCAGGAATTTTACCATCAGATCAACCATTGGGAGCTGGAAATTTGCCATAGTTGGAGTATTCACACCATGAAAATTGGCTAATGTTACAAACCAGCACTTTTTTTTTTCTTTCCAAAGGGCCAGTTTACTAGCACGCCATTGCCTAGAGCCATGTGGGGAGAATTTACGATTAATGTAGATGACACATTTCAGATGAGTGAAAATGTTTGCACTTTTTTCCAGTATTTGCCATTCCTAACCCTACCATTAGCTGATTGTACAGGGGCTGCCAGCTAGAACCCACTTTGCATGTCCAATCCCTTATCCTCTCTCCCATAGTGGCTGGCATTCTTTCTCTCTGATACTCATGTGCAAAATAAACTCACTGTCTCATTGACTTTGTGCCACTCTTGTTCCCAGATTCAAAGCTGGCTCCTTCCTAACTGTTGAACGGTAGAACTTCAATTACAAAAATAAGACAAGCCTGAGCAAGCATATAAGACAGAGAGAAGTGTCTTTAAGAGATTTACTTTAAAAAAAAACAAAACTAGTAAGGCAGCCAATAAGCAAATGCCCCCAGGGATATTGACTTACTGTGTAGTTATTTAAAGAAGGAAATTCGTGTGCAAATTGCCCAAGACGTCTTTCTCCAGCTCCTGTTGTGTGGCTTGGCTGTCCACTACCTCATTCCCATCAGCAGACAAAGGCTGGGAGAGAAAGAAACCTCCGTGACTGTAAGTGATTCCCCAGGCCCCTGGCCTCTGCCACCTGTCACCGAGCCTGCTGACGCACCTCCACTGTCACATTGGCAGCGCTCCACGCAGCCTCCTGTCCCACATTTCTTAAGAGACACAAATGGCATTTACTTTACTGACCACAAGACAGCACTGGGAGCTGGGGGTGGGGTGGAGTGGTTCCATCCAATAATGCTTCCTGGGCCAGAGAGGCTAAAACAACATAAAGCAAAGCTCTGGCCTTCCAGAGGAATGTTGGGGGGAAAATATTGCTGCAGCGCCCGCTGCAGTGACTACAGCATAATTTCCTGGAACACGATGTCGTCGTGAGATTTCCCATGGCAGACCTGGAGTTACTGGTGTGCTTATTAGAAAAATATGAGGATGCCAAGACAAATTAAGTCCTGGCACTTACATCTATGGAGATGGAAGCACTTTACAAATTTTGATGCTCTATTGCCTTTCTTTCTTTTTCCTTTCTTCTTCCTTCTTCTGTGTCCTCATTTCCCCCACTCAACTGTACCTCTCCTCATTTGCTAAGTAGTCATTGAACCTCCACCGTGAATTTTCACAACATATTAAACTAGGTACTTTGAGAAACATAAATATGTGCATTGAGGTGACAAGAATGCAGTGCATGGATCCAGCCGCCTCCCTCTCTAAGAACAACCTGCCTCATCTTACTCCTTGTTTGCTCAACAATCCATGTTGAGTGCACTGTTCTTAGTGATTGTAAGCATAACATTCTCCCCGCCCCTATCATCTCCTGGAGGAACAGATACTTGGAAAATTAGGGAGAACCTGGAGAAATGCCTGCTACAAAGTGGTACATACAAAGCGCTAAGATCATTGCAGCTAGTTTTGAGTCACAAAGTGCTTTCACTAGTTTAGTGCATTATATAATATAATCTTTACAACAACCCTCAGACGTAGGCAGGGGAAGAACATTATTCGTTTTTTGGTCTATCTGCCCCTCCAGGACTGGGAGCTCCCCGTGGGAGGGACTTTGTTATGGAGTCAGAAAATCCCATAGTTGAAGGAACTATAGAAGAAAGACATCCAGCTCAGCACCTGCCTTATACACGCAAGGAAGCCGAGGTAGGAAGACAGCATGAGGTAGTGACAAAAGCAGGGAATTTTACCTGGCCAGCTGGGTTCCTGTCCCAGCTCTCAGCCATATGCTAGACACGTGATTTTGCACATGATCTCATTATGCCTTGACATCCTCTTTTGTAAAATGGAATTGACACTATTTCTCTGCCCATCTTAGTGGGCCGTTATGAACATTAAATAAGGTAATGGATGTGAAAACACTTTGTGAAACATTAAACACTATTACGAATATGGTAGTTCTTTGTCCTTCTCTCTCTTAAAGCCTGTGTAACTCTATAACTAACTTACACTTAGTTTAAAATGTGGTTGTGTGGGATCAGAGGGTGAGCTCATTGGAGGCAGGGGACAAATTGTACTGACGTTTGTATCACCAGCAGTTAGTACAGTGCCTGATAAAATTTGCTTTAAACATATTTGTTAAACAATGATTACTGGGTGGGTGGATAAAATGTAAATACATCTTGCATGAGGGCAGTTTTGAATGTCTCTAGAGTTATTTCAGGGATAACTCATGAACATGTCCTCTAAGGAATTTCTCTTCCATCTCTAATTCAGTTCCTATGATATGACTACATCAGGGCAAGACAATCACCGTGTCCCCACTTCAGCAGAAAGATCACTAGTGTTTCCTACCATAGTGTTAGCGAGGGTGAGAGTGAAGACTTGCCACTCTGAGACCTCACTCTCAAGAGGGCATTTTCCATTTTCCTTTTGTAAATTCCATTCCAATTATGTTGAGTGTTGACCAAAGACCTGAGGCTGGTGTCCTGTAGGCAGTGCCACTGGGATGGATTGACAGTCATGGGAATGGAGCCACGGGGTCTCCAAGAGGTAACAGAGCCACTGAGACAGTCTCTGCTCCAGGTTACGGATCCACTGTTGAGCACACATCCCTGCTCACATCCAGATGCAGATCTACTGGGAATTCTAGCTACTCCTATGAGACGCTCCCCGGAAATGATGTGCTCATCCTCATTAGCTACTTGATTAAATTAATTCAGAAGTGTTTGTCTGTGAAGCGTTTGCTCTGTCCTGTGCTTTAATTACTGATGTAGAAGTTCATCATGAGAGTGAATGCCCTCAGGGAGGGTGTGTGAGTAAACTGGAGTGACAGAGGAAACTTACAGTTGGTAATTGGGGTGAGGAAGAGGAAGTAGAAAAGGGAAAAGAGAGAAAGTGAGAGAAGGAGAGTGAGGGAGTGACAGTGGGAAAGGGACATATCCAATGGGTCATCAAAAAGAACTCTGCTGAAAGACTATTAGATGTGGCAATAAAGAGGTCATTAGTAAGATGTGGGAGAAAAGGTTCAGCTGTGTAGTGAGTCAGAAGAAAGCTAGGGAAGATATAGCTGCCCAGGAAAGTGACGCTGTGCTGGCAGTTCATGTATTCAAGGATGTGGATAGGAAAGAATTATTAATCTGTGATGAGGAAAGGTATAAGGATCAAATAAAGATCTTTTCAATTTGAGCAAATCTCAGCACACTTGATGATAGGAGGAAAAGAGTCAGAAGGGAGGATGTGAAATAATTAAATATCTCTGCCCCTGATTCCTGGCACAGATCTCCTAAAATCCTTGTAATTTCCTAAGTGATAAGAACACTAGGAACATCTTTTGTTTTAATATTTGGTCTTTGAGCCCAGTTCCTGACACAGAGCTCCTAAATCCCTTGGAATTTCCTGGGTGATAGGACTGTCTTTTGTTCTAATGAGGCAACTCTTCGTTGGCTTGTGGAGAGCTTCAGGATGGAGGCGGTCACCAGAAAGACCAAACCATGATAAGAATCTTGGAACATTCCACTCCATCTCCCAACCTCCAGGAAGGGAAGAGGGACTAGAGACCAGGTTAATGATCTATCATGCCTATGTGATGAAGCCTCCATAAAAATCCCAAAAGTATGGAGTCCAGAGAGCTTCCAGGCTGGTGGAAGTGCTAGGAGAGTGGTGTGCCCCTTCCCATTCACCTTGCCCCATGTATCTCTTCACTGGCTGTTCATCTGTATCCATTATTATATTCTTTGGAATAAACTAGGAAACATAAGTAAGCACTCGCCTGAATTCTGTGACCTATTTTAGCAAATTATCAAACCCACGTAAGGGGTTGTGGGAATTCCAATTTAAAGGCTGTTGGTCAGAAGTATAGGTGACAACTTGGAACTTGCAATTGGCATCTGAAGTGGAGGAAGTCTTGTGGGACTTAGCCCTTGACTTGTGGGATCTGTGCTATCTCCAGGTAGATAGAGTCAGAATTGAATTGAATTATAGGACACCCAGCTGGTGTTGTAGAAAATTGTTTGATGTGTGGAAAACCCACACATCTGGTGTCAGAAGTATTGTGAATGTGTGAGTAAAGGAAGACGGGAGAGGTTTTCCTAGACAGAAGGGAAGGTTCCAAAGGAGAGAATGACTAGGAGATCAGGATTTACAGGAAAGGAAAGGATGGGATTCATGTCACAGAGGTCAGAAACCTCTTCCTCCTAACCTAAAGGAGTGAAATGAGGGTGCAGATAAAGGGCCAGTGAAGTTACATTATCAAAAGCCAACTCCCCTAAAAGACAACAGAAAAACTTGTTAATCAAGCAAAGCTAGGGGAAAGATACTTACAGAATTTGGATGTCTGAGATCAAATGATTTAAGGTGGGTCTTTTAAGGGGAGATCTGATTGGGACTGAGCAAAATTCATAACATAATAGTTTAGTATTGGTGAGGGTCAAGTCTTGGGTAAGTAAACAGTTGTTTGACAACTGAACTGTTTGCCCAGGTAAACAATGTATTGTCCTGAGAAGAGAGCTGTTGGGCTGGATGAGCAAACTATTTGCCTAGACAAAGCAAATAGGGAAGTTATTTATTGGTTTACAGCTTTTACTTCCTAGACAAGAATTTCCTGGAAAGAATAGTTGTCATGTTGACAAAGATGGTCTTAGGCTCAGTCCTGACATTTAACTTCTGTCAATGCTCAACATTGAAGGCCTCCTTAAGAGTGAGCATGAACCAGAAACACTACAGTAGTGGTTCCAAACTCTGCTGAACATTGGAATCACCTGAAGATAAAAAAAAGTAATGATGTAGGGGGCTGGCCCCGTGGCATAATGGTAAAGTTTGCATGATCCACTTCGGCGGCCCTGGGTTCATAGGTTTGGATCCCAGGCACGGACCTAGCTCTTCTCCTCAAGCCATGCTGTGGCAGCATCCCACATAAAATAGAGGAAGATTGGCCCAGATGTTAGCTAAGTGACAATCTTCCTCAAGCACAAAGAGGAAGACTGACAACAGATGTTAGCTCAGGTCCAATCTTCCTCACACACACACACACACACACAAATAGTGATGTCTGGTTCCCACCCCTAAACATTCTGATTTAGTTGGTATGTGGTGCAAGTTGGGCAGCAGGACTTCTAAACACCCCCAAGGTGATTTTAAAATGCAAGGCTTGGGAAACACTTCACTAGAGTTAAAGGATAAAAATAGGGATGAAATAATTATTTGAGTGATGCTCTGGGGATTTGAGAAAAGAAGAATCAAAAACTGATAAGCCATAGTATATGACGAGCTGAAATCAGACAGCACTACTCCAGAATAAGCCTGGTCTGTAGCTCCACCACAGAAGAGGTAGAAGGAGGTGATGATGAAGAAATGCCACAGGGGGAAGATCTGGGGCAGAGCTGAGTGTGGCAACCTCAATGGGAGGTTAGATGGAGGGGACTGAGGCCCTGAGCATTCTCTGTGGTGATCAGAGTAGGGAGCATAGACTTGAGCAAAGAGAAGAGCAGACAGCTGGGAGATGTGATGAGAGAGGGAGAAGCCTGAAGTGTGGATTTCAGAAGTGGGGGATTCCATAGGGGTCTTTAGAAGGAGGAGCCCCAGGGTGTGAGGGTGGTGCTTCCCTACTATGTGAAATAAATGTGGAGGCCTGAAGCATCATGGAGAAGAATAGAGTTGTGGAATGATGGAGGATGATGGGTGCCCTGCATGGGGAGAAGAAAGAACACTGTGAAGATGTGTGGAAGTGTCTGTGAGCAGACAGGAGCTACAGTATCTTGGATTTGAAGAGAACATCATGGATAGATGACATGGCATCCAAAAGATAAAATATAATGGAAGACACCTGTATTTTGACAGCCTAGAAATGGTGCCGGGGAATGAGGAAATCCTGCCCAACTCCCTTCACTGCTGAAGAGAAGAAGGGGTCTATGAGGAGGTGAGGACTGCCTGGGAAAGTGCAGCAGGGGACCCAGGAGACTGAGAGCCAGATTAACCATAGGACCAAGAGAGGGAGGGAAAGAAAAGCCTTTGGTTAGAATTAAGGCTTGTCTCTACAAAGCAGCAGTTTCACAGAACACAAAGCACATGGGAGGTGGTGGGAAGGACATGGGTGGGAAGATGTGTGTGAAGTTGGGAGGAGAATTGTAGGAGACAGTGGAGTGAGAGCAGAGAGTCAGAATGCTGGTTGTGGAGAGGAAGGAGCAGGCACAGGACAGCACTGGGCTGACAGCTGCCTTCTCTTCAGGCCAGGAGATCAGTGAACTCAGGCAAGACTGAAGGCATCACCAGGAGCTATCTAGATATTTTTTTATTTCTTAAAAAATTATTTAATTTTCAATAGGCTATCAAGAAGGGTATTAAAAGGGATATAGTCAAAAACCTCCCTTCTACTTCTGCCCGTTAGTCCAGCTCCCACCTCTCCAATAGCTAACCGTTATTATTAGTTTCTCACCTGACATTCACAGAGTAAAGGTTGTATACACATATGTAAGCATTGATGAGTACCTGTTCCCCCTTCTATTTATATACTAATGGCATATTATCAGGGCAGCCATTGTTGCACAACTCTAGGGGCTGCCATTTACATAGAATACAATGTGAACAGTACCCCTGGAGTTGTTCAACATGGAAGAATTCCATGATATATACAGTTTTTTCATCCAGCAGTATGTCTTGGATATCTTTCCACATCAGTCCTGAAAACAAATATTTATCCCTTTCTACAGCCACTACTATGTGTTGGTGTGGCTGTACCATAATTTCTTAAACGTTCTACCATGACATTTTGGTCATTCCTAAATTATTTATATGCTTTATAAACAGTGCTCAGAATTTCATTTTGCACATGTCCAAGTACATAAATAAATTGCTCAAACTGTAGTTACTGGTCAAAGGGTTTCTGCTAGAAGTAGATAGGCAAATGTTTTCTGTAAAGGGACAACTAGTAAATATTTTAGGTTTTACAGGCCATATGGTCTCTATCTCAATCTTAACTCTGCCACTGTAGTTGTGAAAGCAGCCATAGAAAATACAGAAATGAATGAGCATAGTTGCGTTCCAATGAAACTTTACTTACGGACACTGGAATTTGAATTTCAAATCATTTTTATGTGTTATGAAATACCATTGTTCTCTTGATTTTTGCTTCAACCATTTTAAAATGTAAAAACCATTCTTATCTCATGAGCTATACAAAGATAGACAGCTGCCCATGTGCTTTAGTTTGTCCACTTTTGGCTTATGCAGTAGAAATTTTACGAAGTTTTACTGAATTAACCTTCATATAGGTTACATCACTTCATACTTCCAATAGCAATGCATAAGTTGCTATTTTCCCCTCAGCCTACTGTTCTCATGGTTTAAAATGTAAAGAAAATGTAAAGAAAAGAAAAAAGTATGACTCATAATCTCACTCCCAGGAATACTTACTTCTTTTACATTTATGTGTCTATTTTTTCAGACCATTTTCCAGACATTTGTATACAGACATGGTTTTAGAAAAACACGATTCATTCAACAAATATTTATTATGTTATGAGTATTACAAGGGTCATAGGACATATACCATTTTGTAACTTGCTTTTTTCACTTAACGATGGATCATGGAAATTTTGTTCTTAGCCTGTCAGTTCAGACAGTTGAGTAACAATGTATAAAATACAATTCAACAAGCAATAATACAGTTTATCTCATCCTCTCTGGGCCACTGCATCTGCCTGTTCTGACAGAGATGCTGATCGAACCGGTGACATGGATTGACAGAGTAGTGTTACAAAGCTAGATGGACCCCACCTCTTCGCTCAGCTAAACAGATGGAGCCACTTGCCCAACAAGTATTTATTGAGGACCTATTGTGTACCAGACTCTGTTCCAAACACTGGGAAAGTAACAGGAAAAAGGTTGGGCAAGTTCCTTGATCTCATGCGGCTCAGTGAAGGAGACAGGTAATAAGCAAGAGAATCTCAGAGTGAGATACGCGTTATGAAGAAAACAAAAGCCAGTGATGTGACAGAGATCAGTGGGGAAGGTGCTTTAGGCTGGGTGGACAGAGAAGGTCGACTAGGGAGGAGACACATGAGTTGAGATCTGATTGACAAGAAGGAGCCAGTCACGTAAAGCTCTGGGGAAGAGAATTCTAGGTCAAGGGAATAGCATGTCCAATCGACTTGACTGGATCTAGGAACAGGAAGGGGGAGAGTGAGACTAGAAGAGTGAGAGAATGGTATGGCTAAGGCTGGAGAGGTAGACACTGTCAGTCCATGGAAGCCTTGGCAGGCCAACCCATGGAGTTTGGCCTTTATTTAGAAAGCAATGGGAAGTCACTGGTGGATTGATGTGATCTGATCTACATTTTTAAAGAGATGATTCTATTTCAGTGTTGCCAGGTAAAATACAGGATACTCAGTTAAATTTGAATTTCGGGTAAACAATGAATAATTTTTAGTATTAAAAACAATTTTTAATAATATTTTATATAGCTAAAAAATTACTCATTGTTAATCTGAAATTCAGATTTAACTAGGTGTCTTGTATTTTTATTTGCTAAATCTAGCAACCCTATTCTAGCTGTTGCAGAGACATTTGTGAGGGTTGGGGAGATAGGAGCTGAGCAATCCTTAAGAGGCTTTTGAGAAGTCCAGGAAGCTAGAGTAGTGGCCCTGGAAACCGAGGAAAGTGGGTGGATACAGAATCTATTTTGGAGATAGAGCCAAAAGGCCTTACTGACAGATTGCTGTGGGGTAGGAAGGAAGGTGAGGCATCGAGGATGACTCCCAGGTTTTTGATACCTAGGTGGATAATTGCAGAGAGATTGTGATTTTCCCTGTGTTTGTTCTACAAAGTCTGCAGATAATAGAGTAAATGAGGAAACAAAATAAGAAGCAAAGTGGTTTGAAGCAAGAGTAAGGAACTTCTTTGTTAATTGAGAACCACGAACCCTCCTTCTCCGTCTCCCCAAATCAACTGAGATCAATACACTTAAAGCCAGCTCATTTATCCTCTTTGTTTCTTAGAAAGACAGCATTAAAATTTCTACTTGGATTAAGACAAAGAAGGAACATAAAATGTTATTCAATAAGTAGAATGAGTGCTAATTATATTTTGGCTCCATCAAAGCGACAGTTTCCTGCTATAAGTACAGCAAGGAGTAAATGATAGTGAGGAGAAAGGTGTGTGTGGAGTAGAAAGAACCAAGGCAGGGTGGAGAGATGCTAAAAGGAACAAGATGACAGCAGAATAGATGAGCGAGTCAATGGGGTTGGCTTCTAAACTGCCTAGTGGAACATTTTCAGTTGGTTAATCCTAAAGTATCTAAATCAGAGGCTTAAATCAGCTCACAATAGCAGTTTACTAATCTAAGGAGTAGGAAAGAAGGACTGTTTCTTGAGCCCTTACTAGATACCAAGTGCTTTACATACGTTTTCTCAATTTTCGTAACAACCTGTGGTTTATAGGTATGTTTATTCCTGTTTTACAGAAGTTGGTAATTTGCCCAAGGACACAGAGTAAATGGTTATTAGACTCAGATTTGAAGGCAGGTCTGTCAACTGCCTGAATCTCAAGCATGTGGTCTTTCCACTACTCCATCTTCCTTCACATGGTTTAAAGAGTTTGAATAATAATTATAAGAATTTCTTTGTTGGCTCTTTTCTCTTTTACAGATTCTCTAATTCCAGAGACAGCCATTCTTTTTTTTTTTTTCTTGTCTCATTGAATGTAATTAAGGACATTGTATGCAGCAGAGAAGTAAATATTTCAAAATGGTTTTTTTTTTCAAATAAAAATCTGCCTACAGATTGTGGCTGTTGCTAAGTGGGAGTAGTAGATTCATCTTAGAGGAAAACACCTCTTTTTGTTAAAAAAAAGCTTTAAAGAAATTGTTGGTTGTCTAAGATAGGGTGTAGGCTAATTTGAAATGGGGAAAATTGTTAGAAAACTTTAACTTTGGCTTAATAAAGTAAAAAAGAGTCTTCCTTAAGCAGAGAGTTGTGGGTTGGGTTTCCAGGGAAGTGATTTTTGTTTTTGTTGCTAGTTTGCTTTAATTTATGGATTTTCATTTTCCTCTGCAGAGTTTGGGACCTGGGATTTGGGAGAAGAGCAAAGATGTGAGTGAAACAATAGTTTCAGCGACCAGCCAGAACCCAAGGAGAAACGGAGAAGAAAGGAGTCATTGTGAAATGGAATCGCTCAAGAGGACCATGATATTTGAGAGCTTCATGTTTTTCTCTGGTGCTTTGTAATTCTCTTTGCTATCTTCATCTTTAGGAAACTGATTAACCACTGTAATTTAGGTTGTGTTAGCAATGCCTTAGGAAATGAAGGAGGAACAATCTTCTTGGAGCAAAGCCAGGAGAGAGAAGCAGAAGCCTTCAGAAGCTGTTACAAGGTGGTAAGAAATCACTCTCTAGAGTCCTCTGCTGAAATACTCTGAAAGAGAAAGGATTTCCTGCCGTTGTGCAGGATGAGGGTTTGAGTAATTTAATTTAGTTATCAAAGGAAGGCTGGAAGATGGGGGGTGATCAGATTATAGCACGTCTGGGAAAATTCTCTTAGCACTATGTGTCCAAGGCAGGAAATTAGATACAAGATAAAATCCAAGAAGGTCCTGTGGTTGGGTTTCTCCCACAGAAAGAAGAGAAAATCCCTGCATCCCTAGTTATGCAAATACTATGCAAATTAGGGCAATTACATATTTGCTCAGAAACTTTCAGTTACCTCATTTTGGCTTTAAGAGGAGTTGGGACACCGAAAGGGAATGTTTGTCAACAGTCCGGAGTTGTTAGATTTCTTTCAGGGGAAAGAAAAGGGTAAATTTCTTATCAAACAAATGCCAAATTTTAAACAAGTTTTTCAAATGCCTTAATGTCTCTCTTCCACAAAGCATACCAAGAAATAGTTATGAAATGATCAGAATGTGAGGCACAAATGGGAAATTCTTTTCTCTCCCATTCATTTTACTGTATGGTACTTTTTCTCCTTTTCCTGGCTCAACAATGTGAAAAAAGGGCTTAAATTTTTCCCTGAAGAGGATTTCTGCTATCATTTCTAGCCGTTTCTCTAAGTCTGAGCTTCAAGTCTGCCACTTAGGAATGCTGTAGAATGCCCATCTGATGTGACGATGTGTGAGGCTGACAGCAACAAACAAACGAACCAGCTGCTTCCATAGCTGGATCTGTGACACACCCAGTGGTGCCCAGGCAGGACGGCAGAGACACACCTAAAAAAAGGTGGATGTCACTGCCCCAGGGGGCTTGGAAAGGAATCAGAACCACTGCCTCTCCAAAGACAATCTAAAATTGGGCAAAATCTGCCTTAGATCTAATTAAAAATCTTTTCTGAACATTAGCTGACCCGATTAGGAGTTAGGCATCCCTCCTTCTCTCAGCAGAAGACTCTAGAATACATCTTCCAGCGACAGGGATATTTTGCCATTTTAGAGTAGGACATTCTCATAAAGGACACCTATTCTGCTGCCCACAGTCCTCCCAAAAACTACGAGAAAAGGGTCACAGTCAGAACAAACTTAGACGTTGGCCTTCAGTTTCAAAGCATGGTCCTAATAAGGCAACAATTCCAAGACCTGGATTAAGCTAACTAAACTGAGTTAACCAGATTTTTCTGAGTGTCTCCCTACTTCTATTAAAGGCAACACCATCACACCAGCTGCTGGCTTCAAAACCTTCGTATCATCTGTGTCTTCCTTCCCTCTCCTCTTTGCTCTGTCTCTCTGTTTCTCTGGCTCTGCTTCTGTCTAATCTCTTGCTCCTTCTCTGGTCCCTAATCCCTTTTCAACATCTGTCTTTCAACCTTGCTCTTTCCCTTCTTCATTCCTACCCCTGCAACCATCTCAGGTCAAGTGCTATCAGATCTACCCCTGCAGTCTCTCAAATCTTCCCTCTACCTCCACCCCCAGCCCTAGTTCCAGGTCTGGGTATTTCCTTACCCTTCCTGTGCACAATAAAGCTGGTGTTCTTGGCTCACATTTGTAGATTATATTAAATTTCTATTGCACAGAGCTACTCTGGAGCAGTGGTTTTCCAGAGCAGCAGCAGCAGCAGCACCAGAGAACTCCTTAGAAATGCAAATCCTCTGGCCCTACTCCAGACCTACTAGTGAGAAACGCTGGTAGGGCCCAGCAATCTGTATTTAACAAGCTCTCCAGGTGATCCTGATTCACACTGAAGTCTGAGTGCCACTGCTGAGGAATGTAATCTCCAAAAGATGGAAAATGAGATCTGGAGCACAATAGGATTTCCATAAATTTTGTTTAATGATTTAATCTCGATGGTACCTTTTAAGCTCAAAATTCTTCTGTAAGTCTGTCAGTCAATCAATGAGTAATAAAGTAAATAATAATATTTGCTCCTAACTGTGCAGAAACAGCTTGCCGACAACTTCGAAAGTTGCTACTACCAGGCAGGAAGAATTGCAAGTCATTATCAGGACATCTTTAAAAATTCCCAGAGGAAATGTAATGAATATAATAGATATGCCAGAAGCAAGAGACAGTCAGACATGAAATCAATGTAGAGAAAAATAAAAACATGCTAATTTATAATATAAAACAGCTCCGGGTGCTAAACCAGGCTGACTGTCCAAGATGCTTTGCAGTGGAGAAACTGGAGCTGAACACCTGCCTCCTCCCATACTTGTGCCTTGTTGGACAAAGATGGCCACAGCCTCAGTCCCTCTTGGACAGCCACCAACATGTCTTGATCACCTGGGATTTCTCTGGTACAGCTCTCAAGAGCCTGTAGTCCTTGCATATCTCAAACTGACCTGTTTAGGCATCCTGAAATTCACCACAAGAGTTTATCCCTCATAGCACGACATGCCATTATAAAGATTCATTAATTCATGACTGTGCTTGAAGAACACTACCATAAAATATGCCAGTCACATGACAAAGCATATCTTACAGAAGTGCAAGTGATGATTAGAATGGAGCAGGAGGAAAACTGTTACAGCCAACTTGCTTTGGACACCCTCTAAGTGAAATAATGTTCACCCAGCAGTCTCTTAGGAACTGATACTATGCTTAACATATTTTGTGGTTTTATAAATATCATCTGCGTACTTATTAAATGTAATTCATGCCAATTTTAAAAAAAATTAAACAATACAGAAGTGGATAAAGTAGGATGAGAAAGTTCTCTTCCCTGATTCAATTCCATCCCTAAACTATTCTGGATTTGAAAATACAGATATTGATATTGATACATACAAGTAGATATACTTTTTACATGAGATCATATGTGCATCCAATTTTGTAACTTGCCTTTTTCACTCATCAGTATATTGTGGACACTTTCAATGTCATATGTGTAGATTTTCCTTTTTCCATTTAATAGTTGCACAGGATTCTATTGTATGAATAGTTTATTTAACCATAGTTTATTTTAACAGTAGTATCTGAAACATAGAAAGCTCTCAACAAATGTTTGCTATTATTACTTATATTCATACAAATTTTTCCATATCTCCTTATTTATACTTTCTCATTCCTAAAATTATTTATTTGTATTTTCTCTTCTTATTTTAATGTAAAAATTTCCAGAAATACGTATATTTTAAAGAATAAACTCTGGCTTTTATTTATCAAGCCAACATTTTAATTTTTGTCTTTATTACTATGTTCTATTTTCTTTGGTTTAATTTTGATGTTCTTAGTGCCTCCCTAGTGCAGTAGGCAGGACTTCAGTCTGTAATTTTGATGCTCTTCTTGTACCTTCTTAAGTATATAGTTATGTTTATTTTTTCTCCTGTTTTCTAAAAAGGCATTCTAAAACCGTCTAAGGAAAGTATTTGAATGTGGCTTTGGCTGCATCCCTGTGTTTTAATACATAGTAGCCTCACTATCAGTTTATTTAAATCAATCTTAATTTCAGTTTTGAGTTTCTTTTAATTCAAGAATTATTTAGAATAGCGTTTTTATATTTCCAAATATAAATATTTTTTATTGTTATTGCTAAGTTCGAGTTTTATTGCATTGTGTTTGGGGAATGTGGACCATATGATTTCTATTTTTAAGAAACCTCTGAGATTTTCTTTGTCATAGAAGGGGCATTTCTTCTACCACATGTGTTTTCATTGTGCTGATGAGATATAATGCAACCCATTAATCAGAGAACATGATGCAGTACACGCTGCTGTTATTTATAATGAGTTTGCCATCTGGAAGAGGCTCTGTGCATACAGGAAATGAACCATTGCTTGCTCCATGCTGGAATGCACACCTCCTTTGCTAGGTGAGTTGCTCAGCTAGAATCATAATCCAATGTTTACTGTTAATGTTCGCAAACTGTGATACCAGCAAACTGCAAGGTCAATAACAAAGATGATAGCTGTGACTGAGAAATTCCCACTGTGTAAACTGAAGGGCAAATGAGAACATGCCATGCTTTTTGGGCCAATTTTGATCAACCAAATTATTACTTTTTGCTAGCAGTGATATCCTCAGCTGATCACCCTGCCTTATATCCTAGAGCTGTATGCCAATATAGTAGCCACTAGACATATATGGCTATTTAAATTTAAATTAATTAAAATTAAATAAAATTCAAAATTCAGTTCCTCAATTGCACTAGGCACCGTGTTCAACAGCCATATGTGCCTAGTGGTTGTTGTATTAGACAATGCAGCTATAAAATATTTCCATTGTGACAAAATTTTCTATTAGATAGCACAGCTCTAGAGGTAAAAATAGATAGTATGATGGCCTTTTCATGTGTCCACTTGGCTAGGCTACAGTCCTCAGCTGTTCAATCAAATACTAACCTAGGGGTTGCTATGAAGGTATTTAGTAGATGTGATTAAAATCCATAATCAGTTGACTTTTGCTAAGGGAGATTATCCTAGATATTTTGGGTGGGCTGATACAATCAGTAGGAAAGCCTTAAGAATAGAACTGAGGTTTGCTTGATTAAGAAGAAATTCTTCCTGTGGATGTTTCAGCCCATGCCCGAGAGTTCCTACTAGCCCTTCCCCATGGCCTGCCCTACAGATTTTGGAGTTGTTCTACATATATAAATACATATAAAATCTCCTATTGAATCTGCTTCTCTGGTTGAACCCTGACTAACACAGATGGGAACTCTCTCATCTGCACAATCTAAAACTACATACAGACCTGCCCCCAAATCATCTTCACCTGTTCTCCTGTCTCAAAACACAGGAAATATCCTTCGTCCTTTATCAGCCTGTCTTTGCACAGTACTCTGAGTCCCACCTCCTCTCACCTTCTCAGCGGCCTTGCTCCATCAGTTCTCCCTTCCCTCTTCTGTGTCTTCATCTTTCCTTTTCTACTGGATCCTTCCCGCCGTGCTCTAGTATGAGTCGAAAGCTCGCATACAGGTAGGTGGTTTATCTAGCAGTGATCCTAGCACGGGGAAGAGAGGCAAAAGAGGGAAAGAAGTAAAGCCAATACATAGATGCAGATTTTCTTTTACCACCTTTAAAGGCACCTGATGTTCGTCCAATGGGTTCTTCTGAATAAACTTATGAAGTGTCTCAAAATCATCCACCCGAAGGAGGAAAGGTGAAAGTGTTTATCCATCAGCTCCCATTGCCCTCTCATCAAGGTTCGTCTTTGGATGTTATCTCCCCTGGTTTCTGAGTGGTACAGGCATGAGTGCTCAAAAAGTTCCCTCAGGTGTTCCCAGCCACAAAGCAAGGAAGCCCCAAAGTAGGGAAGTGCCCAAGGTAGGCACTGTCAAGTTAAACCTTTGGGAAGCTAATTGACTGCTGATCAGAGCTTATCAAGGCAGTGGCTGGCGTAAAAAGTGGAGCCAAGATTTAAAGTGACATACAAGAGGTGTCTAATACAGTCCCTCTCCTTATGCTAACTTATCTTCCCATGTTCCCTCATAGTCACACTTCTTGGAAGACTTGTGTGCATATGTTACCTCCAGTCCTTCATCTTCTATTCACAATTAATTACCGTAAACTAGCTTTGTCCCGCCTTTCTCTCCCAAACTATATTCTCAAGGTCATAATGATCTTCATGTTGCCAAATCAATGGACCTTTCTCAGGCTTATTTTACTCAATATCTCAGCATCATTCAACACAGTTAACAACCACTTTCTTCTCAAAACATTCTCTTCTCTTGACTTTAATGGCACCACACTTCTAGGATTTTCTCCTAGACTCTCCTTCTCAGTGTCCTTTTCTGGCTCTTCCTTTTCTAATGTTGAATGTCCGCAGGGTTTCATCCTGGGGCCTTTTCTCTTCCTACTATATACTCTCCCTCTTGGTTAATTCATTAGTTCTAATGAATTTAAATACACTTTCTGTTCTTTATATTCCCACATTTGCTTATCCAATCTTGATTGCTCTTTCACCTCGAGACCCATAGAACCAACCGTACACAATTACACAGGAATCTTTACATGTCCAAATGGGACTCCTGATCTTTTCTTGAAAATGTCATCTTCTGCCAGCCTGTCCCATTCAGTAAATGGTACCAACATTCACCTAGTTGCTCAAGGCAGAAACCTAGGAGTAATCCTTGATTTCACCTTTCTCTCATCATATCTAACATAACACCAAGTTCTTTTTATTCTACCACTAAAATATCTCTCAAATCCACCCACTTCTCTCCATTTCTACTGCCATTCACTTGTTCAAGCCACCTCTCACTGAAATTCCTGAAAAATCTCTTAATGGTTCTTCCTGCATCCATTCTTGTTCCTATTCCAATCCTTTCTCCTTATAGCAGTCAAGGACATAGACTTATAATGTCAATCAAATCATTTTATTCTCTGGCTCAAAACTCTTCAACAAGGGTCAGCCCCCTGGCCAAGTGGTTAAGTTCGTGCACTCCACTTTGGTGGCCTGAGGTTTCGCAGGTTTGGATTCTGGGCACAGACATGGCACTGCTCGTCAGTCCATGCTGAGGTGGCATCCCACATAGCACAACCAGAGGCACTCACAACTAGAATATACAACTATGTACTAGAGGGCTTTGGGGAGAAGAAAAAAAAAAAAGAAGATTGGCAACAGTTGTTAGCTCTGGTGCCAATCTTTAAAAAAAAAAAAAAACAACTCTTCAACAGATTCCATGGTCTGTGGGTTAACATCTAAGATTAGTAACAATACCTAAAGGGCCTATAATGGCTTGGCCTCCATGTGTTTCTCCAGTCCCTTGTTGTACCCCAGTCCCCTTCCCTCATAAGTCCACCCATATCAACCTCCTTTCATTTTCTCATAGATACCAGGCCCTTTTTTGCTATGGGTCTGTTGTACATGCTATTCCTGTACACTGAAATGCTCTTTTCCCAGCTTCCCCTGGGGAAACACGATTCTTTAGGTCTCAACTCAATTTGTTACTTTGTCAAAGAAGGCTGCCCTGGTCTACCTCTTTATAATTTAGTAACTTGCATTTTTTCTTCAAGGAATTCATCACAGTTAGTACCCATATATTTATTCATGTGCTTATTTGTTCTCGTCTGTCTCCCCATTCCACTGGAGGAGGAACAACATCTATGCTGTTCTTTACAGTGTCTTCGGTGCCCCAGCTCAGTGGCTGAGACTCAAAAAACGCTAACTGAATGAGTGAAGGGAAGGAAAGAGGGAAGAAGGAAGGAATAAATTACTGTATTAAAATCTTGTAAGGAAATTAAATTTTATTGTGAGTCTGAAATACTCTAGCTTCAACCCCATCTTCCCCATTGAAATACCTGTGTACTGAACACTGTTCTTGCCGTGTGGACATCCAGTCTCTTCCTTCCAACTTCTGTGTCCACCACATTTTGCCTTCCATTCTCCAGCAATGGATACTCAGATTGCTTCCAACTCTCTCATCATCATAAACAATAGCCAAGGTTTAAAATGCTACTTTTGAAATGCCTCAATATGCTTTTAATAAACTTGAGTTAGAGTGAGTCATAAACTATCAGAGAGTTTTTAAGGATATCTTTCATAATGACTTAAGCACCTAAATTTGGTATTTCCTGCAATCCCCAAAATATGATATTTACAGGCCTTTAGAAAAAATACAAGCATAAAAAAAGGTATATCATCTCCAATATGGTGGCTAACAAAAGAAATTGATTAAATAATGTAGGCTGAATCAGGAACTTGAACAATTGAAGCAAAACCATAAGCAGGATGGATCCTTCTCATTTAATAATCTATTCTCAAAGAGAAATAGAGGAGACAGCATAGGTAGTCACATTAAACATTTACCTAATCTCTCAAGCCAGAAACCTAGGAGTTATCCTTGATTCATATATAATATTATTTCATCATCTGGGGAAAATTCCAGCCATTTAACATTTTTTTCCTGATGTTATTACTACTCAATTCATACAACCTCTGAACTATGATGATTGGCAGGTTCCAAATGAAACTAGCCATAAAACTATCAGAGAATTTTGGCTTTCTGCCAGTTCTACAGATAAGTGGGCATTTCACAACAGTTGTTTCCAGATTTCCTTTAATGTGTCCCTCATTTTGCCCACATCCTCCTCAATCCCTTCCAATTAATTTTTACACAGCAGCCAGAATGATCATTTTAAAACTTGAATTTGATTCTGTTACACTATAGCTTAAAAAGCCCTAGATGGCCTCTCAGACAAAATCTGTAACCTGCTCACAAGGGCCAGCCCTGCCTGCTGTCTCGTCTGCCTCCTACCCTGCTCCTCATCCATCTCTGCTCTCCCATGGCACACTAGATTTCCAGTTCCTCAAATGCACTGGAGCCCAGCATGCCCTGCTCTCTGCCTGGAAGCTTCTTCTTGATTTCTCCTCCCTGACACCCCCACTCTTAGCCTTCTGATCTCAGAGCAAGCATCAGTTCCTCAGGGAAAGACTCCCCTGGCCTCCCATTAACTGTGCTCATAGACCCTCCCACCTCTTCTTTGGAGCACTTAAAACAATTGTAAATTACATACAGCTGTGTGAGGCCTTTTAATTAGTTTCCCATCATCCTTGAGAGACCAGAGGATCCAAGATCAGGGACTTTCTAATGTTGCTCACCATTGGGCTCATGGCCCCCAGAAGAAACCAGCAGAGAATGAGTACTCAGAAAATATTTTAAGTGAATAAATAAATGAATAATTAGGTAATTCATATTTTTAAGTAAACTGTCCTATTCACTGTGACCAAAGCTCAATTCCAGTTAAAAAATCTTTGTGAACTACTTGTAATGATGCCCTGAGCTTTACATTTTCCGATTGGTTGGGTTCTCTTTCTCTTTACACAGAGATTTGGGTTTGTAAGATTGTTACTGGATGTGTGGTGTCAGGAGAGGATAGTGAGGGATTGGTGATAACAGCCAAACTGGAGGACCCAGAGACTCTTGTCTTGGTGAGAGTGAATCTCCTGAACAGTGGATGTTAGAGGGGAGATGAGAATTTCAGTCACAACTGTGTTCATCCAAGTGGGTCTATTGTCCAAAAGTCAGAAACCAGGACTGGACTGATATTTCAGGGTACAACTACTTGGGTTGCTGTGTAGTTTATGAACACTGACCTGAAGCGGTCTTGTCTGCATAATGCAATGCCACACCTCTATCCAGAGCTGACTGACCCACAGTTAGATCTGAGTTGGTCAAATTCTCTCTCCTGGGAATTTGAAATCAGAGATAGGAAAAAAAGGAGATTGGGAATTACTGGTATTAAGTTCATGTATTGTTGGTGGACCCTAGAGCCATTTCTGGTCATGATAGTTCAACTCTTGATTCTGTGAGATATCTCTGTGACCTTCTAATAAATTTCCCCTTCTTTTTTGCATCCAGTCAGAGCTGGTTTCTGTTATTAGTAACTCAAAGAACCCCTTAACTACAAATATAGAGAAGATACCTCTGCACAGGTGGTAGCTGAAACTACGGCTGTGGTGAAGTCATTTTACAAATTACAGCAGAGAGAATAGGAGGGAGAAAGGGACACTGCATGTGAGAACGTGAGAATGAAAGAAAGAAAGAGGGAGAAAACGTGAGTAAATAAGAGAGAAGGGGCAAGGGCAAGATGAGAGTGAGAGCTGGAGTGTGAAAGGTGCGAAGAGCAAGCAGAGCAAGACAGAGACAGAGACTGAGACAGACAGAAAGACAGGGACATGAAGGGAGTGGGTGGAGGAGACTGGAGATTAGAATAAGAGAAAAGTACTGGGATTTGGCGATATCTAGCAAGGGCGGAGACTGAAAAGTGAAGTTCTGCTGGGAAAGTCACATAAAGGCCCAAACTTAGGAAATAAGTCAGGCTAAATAAATAAAATCAAACATTTAGTAGAAAAAAATCAATTAAAAATGGGGAGAAAATCAGCCTGTGTTAATACTGACACAGTTAGCAACCTCAGTTCCTATCTTGAGGAACTGAGAACGGGAAAACATCGAATGTGCTTCCTGAGGGGGTTGGGATTTATTTTTTCTGATGGGGTTT